GTGTCTGTCCCTGCCTCGCTCCCTGCCTGCGTCCCTGCATCCATCCGTCCGTCCATCCCTGCCTACCTGCCTCCCGTCCCGCCTTTCAGCAGCCCTTTTTGTAGCAGCTGATTCTATTCCGCCCCTCTCCCTTTTTCCTTTGCGCCCGCTGCAGGTGCGGCGGGCCTGGCCGGGAGCAGGGCAGGCCGCAGCCATGCTGCCCTCCTTCAGTTACGTGACGGAGCACACCGGCTTCCGCGGCACCATCAAAAACTCTCCGAGGGACTTCCTAGTGACAGAGCTCGAGGTGCCCGAACTCTTCCTCAGGGACGCCCGGGCTGAATTGCTCCAGAAGACCAGCGAAGCGCCGCTGGCACAGGGCTGCCCGTGCCCGCGGGAGCTCAAAAAGCGGAGGACGGAGCCCCCCGGCCCGGGTGCCCCCGAGTGCCCCCGGGATGCTGCGCCCGGGCCCCCGGGGCGCGGCCCAAGCCCGGCGGCAGGCGCATCCCCCAGCAGAAATGAGCGTGAGGGAGACCCCGAGCTGCAGTCCGGTCTCGGGGAGGCCCCTGTGCTGGAGTCCTTACTCGGCAAGCCCGTGAGCGAACTGCTCGGCAAATTTGCTTGTGATCTGAAGGATACGTGGGGCTTGGAAAAAAACACTGATGCTGCCACTAGGGAGTTCTCGCTAGGACCCAGGTTGGACAAGAAAATTCGAGCGGATTTACACAGTGCTGTTAGGCAGAAATTCCCCTTTCTAGTCACTGTTACAAAAGACAAAGAAATTATTGTAAAAGAAAATCCTGATTACAGAGAACTTTGTCAGTTAGTGACTGAAAAGGAAACAAGTGATTTCTTTAAATTTTTAGATGCAAAAATAGAAAATTCTACATTTTCCTTTGAGCCTGATGGAAACAAAGAGCACAGAAAAATAGTTCACCACTTTATCAACAGAAAGTTTGGAAAGCTTTTAGAAACAAAATCTTTCACTGTGACAGATGTCAATGATCAGCCAAATATGTCAATAATGGTACGGTTTCGAGAAAAAAATTGGTCCAGAAAAAGGTCTGCTGGTGGTTTTCAGGAGAAGCAAGATGTTTATACAGGTAAATACCTAATTTTTAGTGAAAATGGCAGGTATTATGGTGTTCTGTAGAAAGACTGAAACTGAGGATCAGTCTTATATGACACATAGGCCTGGTTGACCCATTGTTTATGTTGAAATAAATCATTATCAGTGCAGTGCTGTTACATCCCTGGAGAGTGAAATGGAGGAATCAAGTTACTGCAGCGATTTGACATAAACTGCTCACTGGTAGTGGTTATGGTTCTTTTGATTGTAGCCACTAACTAACTCTGGCTTTCCCAGGCTGATAGCTTTCCCTTGAAAGTAATTGTGGGAGTTTAGGAGGTGCATGTAGATATTGAACAAGTTAGTAAGGTTAAATTTAACTTATGATCTCATTCTTTAAAGCAGTTTCTTATACAGAGAATGTTTCTTGCAATACATCCATGAATGTCTGTTGCATTTTACGAGGTAATATTTTTAAGGGCATCGTGGTTTTTTGGTTGGTCTGAGTTTTGTGTAATGTTTTTATTTTTTTCCTTCTGTGCTGCAAAAGTCCCATTTGCTTTAGTTTTCAGTTTCTTTACAGTTTACAGGCTATTACGGTTTGAGGGAAAGAAGAACCTGCCTATCTGCCATGGCAGAGCACTGAAACATAAAGGCGAGTTCCTAATAACTCTGAGATGATTGTTTCAGCTTTCACCCTTCAGAAAGAAAACCTAGAAACGCTAGAAGCAATCAGCTTGTTGGCAGCTGAACTTGATGTTCTTCCTTCAGACTTCAGTTACACTGGCATCAAAGATAAGAAGGCTATCACTTTGCAGCCTATGGTTGTGAAGAAGGTGACTCCTGAGAGGTACTTGGAATCTGGGTACAAGCAGTTCAGCACCTAGGTTTTGGTATTAATAAGTATCAAAACGGTACGATCTCTTGAAATGTTCTTGATGTGTCTTCCCCTTGGCTGTATAGAGCACAGTGGAAATTGCTTTAATCTTTTGTGGCTTTAGGAAATAACCAACTTACCACTCCAGTCAATGGTAAAACTCCACTGGAAACTGGAGGCCAGTTGTCCAAGAGATAATTAGCAAAACTTCACGTTAGTGTTTAAATTATGAAGAAAAATAGGTAAACACATCCACACAGCAGGATAAATAAATATTTTTTATAAATAAAGAGTTTATGAAGTTGTTAAAATACTGCTTAGAATTCAAGCTCTTATGCTGAAATTTTCCTTTGATTTGAATGGCTGTTACTTGCACAAAAGAACAAGAGATTGAGTGGATATTTTAAAGGATAAATATTTGAACTGTCAGCTGTGTTTCCAATTACTAGCATGTGTGAGCACACCCAAAGAATCAGCACGTTGAATTGTTTATGTTAAAGCTGACTGAGAAAGAGCAATTGTGTTTTGGAGTCTGCTACAGCACATTACCTTTTCTTTGCCTTTGTCTTTAATGAAAAACAGGTTTTGAGGAGTGAAGAGTAAGAAAATGACTAGTTTTTCATGTTAAAAAATTAAAAATTCAGTGCAGTTACTCTGAGAAAGTTTGATCAATTGTTTTATTCCAGCATCTGTCAATATAATAAAAATGCCAATGATGCAAATATTTATAAAGTATTTCTGGATTATAACTAAATTTTAAGACTTCTATCTCTGCATTTGATTTGGTTTTCTCATAATAATTGTTTTACAACCCATTTTATTTATTTATTTATTTTAAGTATTTTTAACATCAGTGCAAAGGTGAAAAAGACATTCATTAGGAGTTGTATAGCTTTAGTAGAGGATGGTTTATAATTTTTCCTAATTATTTTTTCAGCTTGAAGGAAATTGGAAACAAAATGGAAAAAAAGGGTATGAAAATATACAACATCCGTCCAGCATGCCAGCACCTCAGACTTGGTCAGCTGAAGGGCAATCACTTTGACATAGTTGTGAGAGATCTCCAACACCACAGTCATGACTCTTCTACAGATCTGAAGGAGAGAATATCTGAAGCAATGGAAAGTGTTGAGGTAAGAAAGGCTCATGGTTGCTGATAATGAGTTATTTGCTGTTATAAAAAATACTTTTAAGGAAAATGCCTGAAATAGCACAATAATGGCAATATTTTCCAAGTTAGGTGCTTTTTGCATTTTCTGTCCTTCCTGCATTTTTTAGGGAATCAGGAGTAAAATTACCTTCCCAGAATGGACTACAAGTGAATTGATTCTGTGTTACAGACTGGAGACCCCAGCGTGGGGCAGCAAAAGACAAGGGGAATTCAGTAACAAATGAATATGAATATAAGAGAGATTGCTGCACCCAAAGTGATGGGTCTCACTGTGGCAGATGAAGGGGGAAACAATGTACTTACACACCCATATAATGTGTATGTGATATGTGTATATACACACATATGCTCAGTGCACATGACAGCTGGTTGCCTTTTTTGGTTATGTGAGGAACATGCATGATTGGCTTGAATGAAAAACTTTAATGGTATGAATATATGTGGAATGTCCATCTCCAAGAAGGATTCCCCTGAAATGCAGTGGATTTTGATTCTGTTTTCTGTAATCCCTGAAGGAAACTGATTATCAGACATTCATAAACCATTAAGAAAAATAAAGGAAAATAATGGAAGGGAAAACCAGTAGATGTTTTTTACAGTATTTATTTTCTTGTCCTATCTTTCAAAATAATGACTATAATACAAAATGCTTTAAGAAGATTAATCCAGGAATAAAATCTTGTATGAAAACTATCCAGTGTGAAAAAGCAAAGTACATTACATGTACTTTGGAAATTAATTTTATTATTGAGGAAAGCATTCAGCTGGTACTATAATGCTTTCTTCATTCCATCTTATTTGTTTTATTTTGCTGTTTGGAAAATAAACACAAATTCCTATGATTGTGTGTCTTGCTTTATTAGATTTACCTTACTGGTCAGAAGATGAATGACAAAACAGGATATGTATTAATCCAAAATATGCATTTTTCATCTTCTGTGATAGCAAAATTGTGTATGGGACCTATAGGTGTCCCAAGCAAGATTATAAAATTTGAACTTAATAATCATTTGCAAAACAAGTATATGATTTTTTTTGTCTGCTCCATGTATACTTACTGTTTTGTGGAAAAAGGTGTTCTCCTTAGGTCATATGACTGTGATTTTACTTCTCACATGTGACCTTGAACTCATCAGATTTAAAATCCCAATTTGAAGAAGTGTTTGCCTTTGACCTTTATATTCCAATAATAACAGAAATTATCTCATGTGAAAAAGATTAGTGTTTTCAAGAAAAAATGTCCAGTTCATTAGCTGTGCTGCATTTGCTTGAGTAGAGATTCCATAATCTGACACATTTAAAAAGCTTAATTACTTTGTCTTGACCTGTAATTGTAATTATGATAATTAACTATATAGAAATAATTTTGTTTCATTTACCTGGGATCTTTCTAATGATGTGAAGACAATGGTAGAACTTGATAGTCTTTTTAGACATCTTTTTAGTGCCAGAATTTTGCAATGATATATCAGTATTTCTTTTGTTTCACGTAACTTCTGATTCTGGTTTTATGCATTTTGGATGTAAATACAGATGTATATTGTGTGTTGTATGCCTGGTCTTATTCATTATGTGCAGTACTTTCATGCATGTAATGTGTTTATTCTTTCTCATTCTAGATAAAAGGTTTTGTGAATTACTATGGACCTCAGCGATTTGGGCAAGGACAAATTGTTCAGACAGATCAAATAGGATTGGCTTTACTGAATGAAAAAATGGTATTTCCATTTTCTAATATGAGTATTTACTGTCAAGAGAATTTCATATTACTGTTGCAATATCTAGCACTGGAGTTGACCTTCTGAGTGAATAATTTCATTTGTGAGATGAATTCATCTGTGTGCTGGAGCAATTGCTAGATCATTTTTGATAACAACATAAGCATGAAGATATTCATACTGAAACTAAAACCTTTTTTTAAACAGCAAGTGAGGCTTTAAATAGATCTGGAGTGATAGTTCTGTCTGTGATTGGAATGTGATTCAGATTATCATCATGCCAGTTGGCAGGAAAGTGGTTGCATTCCATACAGGGTTTGAATGCTGAAAAGAGGCAGTCTTCATACAGTGTTTATTCATGGTCCTGATTGCCTCTGAACTGTAGTTTCTTTATCCTGCTGGGGGTCTATTTATTCTTAAGAATGTCACATAAGCTCATAAGAAAGGATTTGCTTTTTCAATACTGCGGTAATTTATCTGCTGTATAGAAGAGATTGCTGCTTTCCATTATTCCTTGACTACTTTCCCAAGCTCTCAGTTCTGAGATTATTAAGTAATAATTAATAAGATAAGAGTAATGTACTTTTCAGTGTATGTGATACGGTGTTTGGCACAGGTAAAACACTAATCAGACACTACAAAGTCAAAAAGATACTTGAGTATACTTTTCTTCTAATCTTGTTTTGATTATGAGAAAAATCAGGAAAACTTATCTTTCAAATACAAGATTCAAGATTTGAGGGCAGCCCATGAAAGTTGCTGTTGATGTATCTGACATCAGATAGCAGTTGGACCAGATGCCAGTCCCTGAGGAGTAATGATTTAAATCCTTAGTCTTGACTTAGTTACTTTAATTTAAAATAGGTAGGAACTACTATTCATATTAAAAATGTGCCAGTGTGTGCTTGCACAGTCCAACACAGAGGAGGACAAGAGCCAGGTGTCACGGGTTGGTAGAAGTGCTAGCGAACTGAGCAGCTGTTCATATATTGCAAGTAGCAGAGATTACTGTAGTGTTTTCCTTGTCACAGTGTCATCTAACCTAATACAGATTAGTATTAAAAAACAAAATAAAAAATAGTTGTCTCTTTGTATGACACTGTGGAAAGTGTCATACTAAATTCTGGAAAGTCTCAGTCTAAATTTTGTATGAAGCATGCAGGATGGAAGGAAGGAGCCTTCCTGTTCAGGATAGAATGATGACAATTTCAGGTGGAGAAGTTTGAGCTGGATGACTAAGAAAGTGATTGGTTTCTTACAGAGCTTTGAAATTTTCTGAATGACTAAAACCTCTTTTTAATCTGAGAAGGGACACAATACATTGTTCTGTGATTCAAGGGATCTTCTGTGTAAGGGCAAATTTGATTTTGACTCTAAAGAACTGATTTAATTTTGAGAGCTTGCAGAGTATGTTAAGGCAGAATCAGATGCATGATAACCTGTTTAGCTGAGAAATAGCCGTTTTTAACTGAAAACAAAATAAATTGTACTTTTAAGGTGGAAGCTGTGAAGTTATTTTTCACACCCGAAGATACTGATGATCCTGTAAACAATGCAAAAAGATACTTTCTTCAAACTGGTATGTCCACTTAAATTGTCCATATATTTATGTAGAGTCAATATTGTGAGGTAATAAGGTGTTGCTGCACGGGGAGATACTTTTTATTTTCCTCTGCTTTATGCCACTTATATTTGATTCTGTGAAACTCAATAGAGTTGCACATTTAAAAATTGTATGAGGATGGGTCCCTAAATGTGCAAAATAGCGGAAAATGAATGTACTACAGGTGTGAGGAAATAGAGAAGCAAACATTGTGTATCATAATACAAGAGACTAAGATTTATCTGAGGAGTTCTGGCCTACTTCAATTTGTCTACTTTTGGATAATGAACTTCTCCCTAGTGAGGGAGTATTCAGGAATGCAGCACTCAACACATACTCAGAACTTAACACACCTACTTTCTTTCTTTCTTGAACTAAAATCAGCAAAATAGGTCAAACGCAGTAGTGTGCCAAGTAGAGTGCTCTGTTTGCCATATTTATTGCTTTTATCATTCAGCTGAGCTTTCTCACCAATTTGAAGTTGCTCTCAACTTCAAATGTATTTTTCTTTTCAGATATTCCACATCTGTTAGCCTTCTTATCACTTTAGATTGACATACCAATTATGATATATAGCTTTAAAAGACAAAAGTATGTTTGGTTTCACAAAAAAATATAAGATGAATGATTCTGTTCTGTACATGGCTGTATGATGCATGGAAAAACATTAATGTGAACCCTGAAAGCAGCTGCTTGCCTTTTCCTGAAAGCAGACATAGAAGTCTGTGCAAAAGGCTTCATCAGGTAATCACTTCTAATATGAAAAGAAAAAACCCATAAAATTTTAAACATACAGCATTTATATAATGTAGTAAAAATCTGATTAAATGCATTTTCATCTTGGTTAAGGGTCAGACTTCCCTGAGGCCAGTGTAATTTTTGCCTTTAAAATAAAGACATGGTTCTTACCTGCTGTGAAATACATCTTCTGAAATGATGAGAAGTAGAGATTTAATATTCTTTTATAGCTTGGTTTTTACTTTCATTTACCTGGTTCAAAAAAAACCCTTTGGAGTATAAAGGAAGTTTCTAAAAAAAAAAATTGTTCAAACTAGGCCAAACAACTGAATGATAGCTAGTTTAACTTCTAGTGCATGAAACAGAAAAAAATCATGGGTGTGTGTTGATAGGCACACAAGATGAAATTTGTCTAACATGACACGTTGAAGGAAAGGAGATAATCAAAGCATGGAGACATGATAGCTTTTTTCCCTATTTGATTATTTTATCTTTTTAAATGTCAGGTAATACTTGAATAATCAGGGATTACTGACATGGTTATTTTTGTTTATATCAGAAGATGCAAAGGGCACGCTTGTGATGCTGCCAGAATTTAAAGTAAGAGAGAAGATGTTGCTACGAGCTTTAAATCGCTACGGTGTAAATCAGGAAGGTTGTACCAAAGGATGGCTCAACATTCCTCACTCGTTGCGCATATTCTATGTCCATGCTTATTGCAGTAAAATTTGGAATGAAGCAGCATCATATAGGCTGAAGGCTTATGGCTCAAAAGTGGTTGAGGGTGATCTTGTCTTCTCGGAAGAAAATGATGAAAGCATTTCCCTGAATGACAAGGTGAGTCTTCTTGTAAAGTAGTTCTTGTAAAAAGAAAAACAGCAACAACAAAAAAACCCCAAACAACTTAATGCACTTGAATCCATAAGCAGACATACTCAAATGCCTTTATTTTGGTTCATTCATTAAAATATTTAATATTTGTGACAAAGTTAAAACACATGATATATGATTTTTTATTTTTTTTTGTTTCACCATAAATAGACCTACAAGCTTTAATCTGTTTTGGCTGTTCATTTTGTTCAAGTGAGAGGAAGGAACAGAAGGTTGGAAATGATACATGTGAAAATTTAGTCTCCATGGTATATAATGTTATTCTTAGGATCTGACTGGGTAAGAGTTTCAGAGTAGACTCTTGAGTGTACCCATATTACCGATCAGTGCAGATATGAGTCTTGCTCTCCACATCAGGTTTTTCTAAATACAATGCTCACCATGAGTTCAGTGTGAAAGGTGGCCTCAGGCTGAGCTGATAATCCCATTGCAGCTACAGAGGCAAAACATGTTTAGCACAATTTCACTGGTGCTGGGTCTAAACTGGTAGCAGCTGTTCAAAAAATGCAGCAGTCTTCTTGGTAAGGTAGTAAAGGGCAAGGGGGTGCTTCTGCTTGCCCATAGCTCAGCCTGGGAGCTATGCATGAAGCCATAGGTCAGCCAGTGAGTAGAATCTGGCAGTGAAGTTTCTGGTCCCAGATTCTGACATGCTGAAGTTCATTCTGAAGTGCTCTCTTCTTTTAGGGTTAGCATACCTTATTGTGAAGACAGTTGCCAAGTAGCAAGTGATAGGACAAGAAGAAATAGCCTCAAGTTGTGCCAGAAAAATTTAGATTGTGTATTAGAAAATATTCTTCACCAAAAGGGTTATCAAGCACTGGAACAGGCTGCACAGAGAAGTGGTTGAGACACCATCCCTGGAGGTATGTTATAAGGGTTTAGTGGTGGACTTGGCAGTGTTTGCAGCTGGATATCTTTATATGTCTATCTTTCTCCTGATCAGATCAATCATAAACTGTGCAGTATTTTACTGGAGAATAAATAGGTGTGTGCAGAGGCAGAATGTAATTAATTTCTTTTGGATGAACCTCTTACAAATTTGAGGGCAAGAGCATTTGAAAGGTTACCTCCAGTCCCTATGGAGTAGCTCGTGTTTCAACTGAGATTTTTCTTTACCAATATTTTTTAGAGTGAATGTTAATGAAATAATTAGGTAAAATAAAATTAAAAGGAGATGTATTAAATTTAGTATTGAGTTACTGAGTTTTATGTAGATATATTCCTTCTTAATATAAAACATTTTTCTTTGTCTTTTTATATTTGCTGATAAAGCAAAAGATGGCATTGACTTTGTTAACTTCAGATTCAAAGAATAGTAGTGGTAATGCCATCACCACTGATTAATTTAAAGTAAGCATATCTTAAGATTTTTTTCATACATGAGTGTATTGCCCCTGCAGTAGTCAAATAACCTTAATATTCTTTGCAAGTTTGTGAGTACAGTGCATAATTCCTAAAAGAAAACATATGTTTTTACTTTTTAAAAGGTTGGTGTTTTTTTCTTCTTGAATGTCTTGTCAGGTTCATGTAGTCACTGCTTCAGAAGAATCAGCTAACAAATACTCTATATACCAAGTAAGTCTGTATGAAAAATGCTGAGTTGTTGATCTTTTTATTTGATTAAAATGTTTTGTTTTAAGTAATGTGATTAATTTAACTGGTGCAGTCTCCATCCCTGCCAGAATGCTCATCAAAGAAAATACATGTAAGCTAATTTCCACTCTCATAACAAATTTACTTTGTAGTGGAAATAAGTACAGTGTTATTTGAAGTATGGCAATATTTATCCTGAAGCAGAATAATTTGGGAAAGATTTCAGTCTACTGGGAAAAACTTTCAAAAGCAGTTGACATTCTAATTTTTGAAGGTTTCAGAGTGCAGTTGTGAAGTCTTGCATGGCAACTGACTATATGGCAGCTGAATATCTTTACTGCTGTGTACTGCTTTGTTTTACGAATCCTGGTACATTGATTATTTTTTCTGCTTTAATTACATTCAATATACCTGCCATGCACAGCTTCATTTCACAAGAGAATCTGCTGGTTCACTATTTCAGGCCCCAAAACGAAAGGTTTAAACACATTTTAGATGATCACATTTATTTAAAGGGGAATGGCTGAGCATTACCTCAAATATATTTGTTTTTTTCTTTGAAGGTGGTTCTTCCAATGGTGGGACATAGTATCAAGTACCCCAGTAATAAAGTTGGACAATGGTACCATGAAAGGCTTTCTAAGGATGAGCTGGAGTTGTGCAAATTCAGAGTGTCTCCGTTGCAGCTGAATATACCTGGATGCTACAGACTCATTTTGAAAAATGTTCAGAATCTCTCATATTTTTTGGAAAGTAGTGAAAAAGAGATCAAAACTGAGGACAACCATCTGAATGATTTAAAACTCTCTCTTCATATATCATTTGACCTTGATCCTTCATGTTATGCAACAGTCTGTCTGAGAGAAATAATGAAATGTGATTTTTAAGATTCCACTTAATGAAAGATTGCAGGAATATTGTACAAAGTTGGTATTTTACATGTAATGCCAAGAACATAAGGGAGAATAACAGGTTTAACATGTTAACATGTTCATTAACATGAACAGGTAAAATTTGTAGATTTTGATTCATACAGATAAGGAAAAAAAATATTGCCAAAATACTTTGGAATATTTCAAAATCATTCCAAACTCTAAATGGATTGAATTAATTGGAGTAAAACTCTTACACCAGGCTGGTCTAATATAACTTAAAGAAACCATGGGCAGCCAGCGTGAATTTCCTGTTTGCGTAGACATCTGGCTTACAAAAAGCCCTGGAAAAGTATGTGCAGCAAAAAAAATGTATCTTGTAATTCATAGTAATTTTATAAATGTTTTGTAATAAATGCTATTCAAGCAATAACGTTACAAGTTTACAGCCTAAAAGTTTCTAACTAAAAAGTTGTTGTACTGAGGTTTCCTTAATATATTGTGTTTCGCTGTGTTCAGGTACTTAATGTTAAAATGTTAAAGTCCTGAGTCAGCAGTGACAAGTTGTTGGTTGCTTTATCAGACATTTGGTGAATGCCTAAAATTAAGTTAATGCTGGTGATTTCAAGATTCAGCTGGGAGTGCAGCACTGACCAAAGGTATATTCCACACCACCACCAAGTATATAAACAGGTATATAAACTGAAGGGAGTCACTTGGAAAAGGAGCTGATCTGGATTTGGGAAGGGAGGTCTGGCATCAAACTGAGGGTGGTGAGCAATTGCATTGATCAGCACATACATTTTCCCTTTTTATTGTCTTTATTACTATCCTTGTTTTGTGGAGGCAGTTAAACTAGGGACCAGAGACCTCTTCCAACCTGGGTTGCCTGCAGATGGCAGCATAACTTAAAGTAGGAAGGTCTACTCATTTTTATTGAGCAGGAATTAATGATATAAATTGATTTCTGTTTTTTGCATCAGTTGATAAAATGATTGCATCATTTTTCAGATGATGCTAGCAGCTGAATATGATAAATTTCCCAAGCTTGAGAATGATAGGAATAGGAAAAATAGAAATAAAGCTCACATTTCAATGTATGTATAAAACTGTGCAGCAACGAAAGATCCAGATAATTCTATACCTTAAAAAAGAGTGTTACTCTGCAAGTCTGTGTCAGTAATTCAAAATTTGATCCTTAGCTTTTATATGAGGAATTAGACTGTAATGCACACAATAGCTACAAAGCCCCTGCAGGTGTCTTACAATGCTTATTCTATTACAGTGCTTACTCCACATCTCACATTTATGTTATACAGGCAAAATTATAGAAAAAAATCAATTTCCCTGCCATGACCCAACTGAGTCAACTTTCTTCTGTCTTTGCTTTTCAGTATCACTTCTTCTGTCTTCTACCTGCCCTTAAAAATCCCCCATTTTAGAAAATTATTTTTAACTGAAGTAATTTTGGTACAGCACAGTTCAAAAAGAGTTGTCTCATCAGTATGGGCATGGTAAAGTGCTCCAGTGCAGACAGGAAGCTGCACGCAGTTACAATGAGCAGAAGAAATAAACTAGCACTAAACTTCTATTTAAGGAGACTATTGTGGTCATCATCCATGTGGATGAAAAGAACCTTGAAAACCATCTGATGGCATACACGATTTGTATTAAAAGTTGAGCATTGATTTGGAAAAACACAAAAGGTCAGCTTTAAAGGTTTTTGACTGAAAGGCACACTATTTCAAAATAAAGGATCAGAAGATGGTGTTGAAAGAGTTCCCCTATAATCATTTTAGGATCATTTGTCAGTACTTCTATTGAACACTGAAAAACCTAATCTTCTTAAGCAAATCATTCTTTCAGCAATTTAAAGGTGAAAGAGCTAATTATGTGTGCCCATAGGTTAAATTCCTGGAGTAGAAATGTTCTACCAGGGAATTCAGGTTAGCTGTTAGAGTGTTTATATGATAAACATCCTTTTTACTTAATTTTATTTATTTGTAATTCATTCTCTTAATCCTAGCAGCTATTTTGCAGGGTTGTGTACATGAAAAGCTGAATTTAGGGAGTTTTGTATGACTGCAATACTCAGCTTCTTAAGTATAATCTATATAAGCAAAACATCTGCATCCCTGCATTTAGGAAAGAAGATTATCATTATGCACTGATCTGAATTTAGGGAAAAGATTCATGTGTTAGTCATCTCTCATTTTAGTAAGCACTTCTATTGGTACCATCCTTTTCTGATAATCCTTAAAGCAATTTGCTAGTACTAATGAAGAGGGGTTCCTGATTCTGTTCTTAACAAAAAGGGGTTTTAAGTTCAGTGACCAGTTGATTTTTTTTTTTCAGCACAGATGATAGATAATTGGGAATTTGAATGGGAGAATGCAAATTCTTAATCTGTGAAATCCTGTGACTTTTAATTCCCTACAAATTTGACAACTAGTATGATCCTCAATGAGAATGTACAGATTTTCAGATCTTTCGGAGGGAGACAGCTTAAAATTACATTCCTATCATGAAGGCAGTTCAGAAGACAGGTAGATGTGTGATTATTGGCCCAGCTCACTCATTAAAACTCCATTAACTCCTCACTTTGTGGCAGTTCCTGACAGCTGGTAGTTTGACCTCCTACACCCTGCTGATGAAGACAAAACTCCTTTCCTTTCTCTTGCAGAACTTTTGCCTGCAATGGGTACTCAAGGAAACAAGCTGAGAAACTATTAACACTTTCTTTCATTCTGAGGTTGGGTCTTGCAGCACATTGATTCAGGTCTAGATTCCTTCTGGAGGAAATTAGAAAGTGGGTTCCATCTGCAGGCCAAGCATATTAATGTCCACATTTGGAGAGTCTCAAATCCTACACATGGGTATGTTCTTTTGAGTATGTTTCAATGCTCCAGTATGTTCATCTGTTTCTGTCACACCATAAAGCTTTCTCATGTAGACATCGTCTGGGAATGTTGTCTTTGCAAGGAAGGCAGAATCAATGAAGTCAGATGTTCACACCATCTGAAGCTACTTTATTCTATTTGGTAGAAGTCAGTCTTTTATATTACAGCAGTTTAAATGTATTTTCAGTGTATATTAAAGTTCTTCCTGCTTAGAACAATAAGGTTTTTAATGACCTTTATAAATAACTGATTTAAAAAATTGATTCTGTCTTCCAGAATGTTCCTGTACTTAACTTAAAACTGCTTCCTTCTGACTTCATTTGATCATCCTTGGCTCCTACACTTCAATTCAAATACATTTCAATTCAAAGGAGTTCATCCCTATCTATCCCCTTGCTATCCAGCTGTATGTATATGAGTACATCTGGATATTCTTCCCAAATATATCTCCTAGATGAGGTGCTTAGCACAAGTGTGCAGCCATGCAGTCTCTGCTCCTATGGAGGCTATTTCATACTTACAGTGTTCGTTGTCCTTCTGTTAGCTTTTACTGTTTTTTAGGATACACTTTTGAGATGGGTGACCTAGAACGGCACATAGTTAAGGATATATTTTATTCAATCCTAATTTTTCTCCTAAAGGTCTGATAAAACTTGCCAAAACACATGAAGTTGCTCCTTGGAACAAGGGGAACACCTTCCATCCACCCTCAGCACATGTTGAAATGACTAGGGAAGGCAATACCTACCTTCACCCTAACCTGCCAGTGGATACATCAGATGCTGTGTTAAGCCAGGCAGTTTGGTCAGGTCATCTAGCATCTTCCCTAGGCTACGTAGCTCGGATGACAGCTATCCCACAAAGGCAGCAAAAAAGGCATGGGGGTTTTTTTCTGCAGGAAAGAAGTTTCTGGAAGGAGACATGAAGTCTTTCTTCTAGGAGTCAGAATGCGCTTCAGATTCAGCACTGAACTTCCCTGGGTCCTGAAGGCCTGCAACCCTGATTAGTCCTGACACTCCCTGTGCCAGATTCCCCCTTTCCTGCCCATGGAGTTCTGCCTGGGGCTGGGCCTGGCCCAGCGCCCCCTGTGCCGCCCTATCTCTGGCAGTGGAACAGGCTCTGGCCATGGCATGGTTGCCTGACAGACAAAAGATTTTCTCCTTCATAAAACTCAAGTTTCAACATGCATAATTTATGATACATGCTGCAACCCTGCCATATAATTAATCCCAACACTTTTCTTCTGTAAAGCCACTTTCTTTTACACCTTGCAAGTAATGCTTTTTAGCTAAATGATTGACAAATTATTAAACTGTGTTACTTAATCCTGAAAAACTACAGGGTAGAGTTCACCATCTCACCCTGTCCATAAGCCCCGAATCTTTGCTAGACACCTGATACAGATAGTACTTATCTCCTACCAGCATGTCCAAGGCAAAGAGCAGTTTTCTGTTTCACTACATTTTCACATAAACGCACACTCAGACATTTTAGTAATGCCTCAAGCAGCCCATCAGTTGCTTATTGTCCCAGAATGATTTATGATATAATGTTACTGTGGATGAACTCTTCTCTATTTGTTTTTCCCAAGAGGAAAAAACAATATACTCCATCTAATTATATCTATTGCTTAGAGATTGAGAGTCTTCTACCTCTCCCATACTCCGAGAGATTCTCAAAGCAAAGCTAGGGACGTACATCTTGGGATGCAAAATTAAATTTTCCAGATAAAAAGAAACCGTTGGGCTGGATGCTTTCAACAACTATTTTAAGAGAAGTGTGAAGGAGAGATGATTTTGGAGGATGGGATGACTGCTGTATGAGAAGGAGTTATTGATAAGATTGATACTCTGTGGAGTGGTTGAGAAAGGCAGGAATGGAGAGAGAGATGATCTGAAAAGGAAACAGTGCTCGTAAAAAGAATGATACAGGGAAATTAATAATACAGGAAGAGAAAGTCAGTAAAAGATAAGAAACTGTATCTCTGTAAATTGTCATTGCCCCATTTCACTCAATATTTTTCAGCATATTTTCAGTGTATCCATTCAGAGTGTGACTTGTACTCACCCACTGTTGCATTTGCTTGAAGGAAGGAAACAAATCAGTTTCTGAAATAGCAGTTCTGTTAAAAGCTGGGTGGAGATCCTTGTCAGCTTGACTGGCAGGAGCCAGCTGAGATACTTCAGGGAATATATAGTACACTGGGGTGTGGGCTGTCAAGGAACAAGGTGATTAAAGGACAGTTTAAAATAAAAGACAATCTAATGGAGAAAAAGCATGATTTGGGTCTATCTCACAGCAAGTGCAGACTCAGTATTATTACAGTATTCATACTGGCTCTAAGATTTTTTTTTTATGATCCTTGTTTTCAAAAGAAGCCAAAGGGTATATTCTGCTATTAATTTATATCAGCTTTTTAGTATTTTTTAATCAGTAAATAGGAAATCATATCAACCTTCCCCCTTCTCTCCACACCATGCATTTTTATTTTACTCTTTTATTTTATCCTGACTTCTTAGTTTCGCCTTTTATTTGAAGCCATTCTTCTCTCTGATGCTAAGAACCATCCTATGCAGCAAATAACCTGTGCTCCAGTAAGCCAGAACTATGACCTTTTAATATTAACCATCCCATTCATAGGACCTGCCATGGTCCTTCAGTGCTCATTCCTGCCTGTCCCTGCCCTGGGGACTGTCATTCAGCTTTGCATAGCTGTACTGCCATTTGTTTCCCATCTTTCTGGTAGAGAAAGAGCTCTGTAAAGTAAAACTGCAGGACAGAGGTCCAGTTTGACTGTAGAAACATAGGTTCATAAAGTCACTGCCTCATTTTTTGATTGAGCTCAGCCCTTCAATGCTTTAGAGTGCTCCAATATGGGCTCAAGAGCATCAGAGCAAGAAGAGACCCAGTTGCACCAAGAGCTTGTTTGACTTGAATTTACGCAACAAGGACCTTAGCAAACAGAAGAAAAGTAAGTTTGCATAAGACTGGTATATTGTCTTTGGCAAAGCAGCTGGCCTACAGCTGATACTTTTTCCTCTGAGGACCTTTTTGATGCTGAATCTGTTCAGGAACTGTGAAGTGATTTGTTATCTTCAAAGGACAGGTTTGTCTTTAGTGCTTTTGAGGCTTAGTTGAGCAAACAGATGAAGTGCTATTCCTAAAATACAGTAAAAAAATGGTGCTCTGTTCAGAATCTAAAAAAGTTTAATGAATTGAAAAATGAGAATCAGGTGAATGAGAAAACTTCATCCTTGAAACTTCTTCCTCCTGCTCCACATACTAAAGCAATGCAGATGTAGAAGGTAAATCCCTTACTATGTGGTACAACTTATGTTTTATGCTGTGATCTCTTAATCTAACATCAGGAAATAATTGTAAAAATACTGTATCAAAGGTCTTTGCTTTGTCACATGCAGTGTTTGCTTTTTACCATCATTTTCTTCCAATGTTACAGTTCTGAGAAATGATACTTTAAAAGAACTAATTAGCATTTCTACTGTTGGAACTTCAGCTGTCACTGGTGTTTACTAGCCTCTTTTATGTTCTTCATTGTAATATATGAGCAATTTTCTGTGCCTTCTAACACCCCTGTTTTCAGACAGAAATTTTTGCAGGTAGAGCAATTCATAATTCAGTTTGTTATCAGCATAATTGTCCATCCAAGGTAAGAACATCACAAGAAATTTGATTCTAGGATTTAAATTGCTTTTAGGCATTAGGAGATTTCCAGCCTGTTATATTTTTAACAATTGAGTTAAGAATAAAATAGCATATTGTACCGAGGTTCTTCTTGAAAGACCATCATGTGGCTGTGAAGGAATGTTAAGGTAAAATCAGATCCAGACAGACAAATTCACAAAAAGTATGTGTGTG